GCTATTAGTGTATCCAGAATCGTGGTAGTTTAATATACGTATTAAACGCGACTGAACTGGTAGTGGCAAATTGGACATCATTCAGAATTTAAACCTAGCCGCACCTAGCCTCTCACTTTGGTGAAGAGCGTTAGAAAGCAAGGGAGTTTATTTTCTGCCAAAGTAACGCGACAAGGAGTGAAATTATGTGAGAGAAAAACCTTTGCCGACACTGAAGTAAGAATAAGGAGGGGGAGGAGGTGGTCCAGGTGCTGGAGCAGAGATTGCCCTGCAGCCCATGGTGAAAACCATGGTGAGGCAGGGGGTCCCCCCGAAGCCCCTGGAGGGCCACGTGGAGCAGATATTCACCTGCAGCCTGTGGAGGACCCGACACCCAAGCAGGTGGATGCACCTGAAGGAGGCTGTGACCCCGTGGAAAGCCCACGCTGGAGCAGGCTCCTGCCAGGACCTGTGGACCCATGGAGAGAGGAGCCCACACTGGAGCAGGTTTACTGGCAGGATTTGTGACCCCATGGGGGACCCATGCTGGAGCAGCCTGTTCCTGAAGTACTGCACCCCACGGAAGAGACATGTGGAAAGGATCCACTTGTGAAACAGTTCATGAAGAACTGCAGCCCGTGGGAAGGACTCACACTGGAGAAGATTGTGGAGGACTGTCTCCCGTGGGAGGGACCCCATGCTGCAGCAGTGGAAGACTGTGAGGAGAAAGGAGCAGCAAAGACAACATGTGATGAACTGACCACAACCCCCATTTCCCATCCCCTTGTGCCGCTCGGGAGGGGGAGGCAGAGAAAATCAGGAGTAAAGTTGAGCCCAGGAAGAAGGAAGAGGTGGGGGGAAGGTGTTTTAAGATTTAATTTTATTTGTCATTACCCTACTATGATTTGGCAATAAATTAAATTAATATTTTTCCCAAGCTGAGTGTGTTTTCCCATGATGGTAATTGGTGAATGATCTCTCGTCATTACCCTACTATGATTTGGCAATAAATTAAATTAATATTTTTCCCAAGCTGAGTGTGTTTTCCCATGATGGTAATTGGTGAATGATCTCTCCATGTCCTTATCTCAACCCATGAGCCTTTTGTTAAATTTTCCTGTCCAGCTGAGGAGGGGGAGTAACAGAGTGGTTTGGTGGGCACCTGGCATCCATCCAAGGTCAATTCACCACAGTCCTTGTGATGCAATCTGCAAATGCACAAGCTACCACTTTTTGAGAAATATCTTTTTGTAATTTTGTTTTGTCAATAACATTTATATATGACAGCTATTAAAAAAAATCTATGTGCTATAACAGCTCTAGAATACAATAACTTGCTAACTGGCAAGGTGTAATAGGCTGTTTTCATTTAATCTGTAAAGTCTGCAATAAAAATTACTGACCTATTTTACCAAAACAATGGAGATTATTATTCTTGTCCGGCACAATCATATAGCTTTAGCGCACACACGCACACAAAAGATCACTTTATGAATGAACCAAGGAAACAATCGCAAGAAGACAGCACAGACTGATTTTAAGGGACTGTTCCCTCTAAGCAAGAAGCAAAAGAAAAGGCAGTCTAACTAATGCAGGAAAGCGGAGTCCTGAATGCCCTGAGGATGTTGCCTAAGATCTAGGGATCCTAGGAATATAGAAGAAAAACTGAAAAGATTCTTGGGTTTAGATCAGACTGGTAATGGGTACTCATCTATAAGTAAATTGAGTGTTTAATGGTTGCTTCAGAAAGTCTGTGTATTTACTTTAATTCCATGATGAGTATTAAGCTAGAGATAAGACACATTGAAAAAGGACAAAAAAAGTAGTTTCCGGAGTAAGTTACTGTATCCCAAATTTTCCTTTGTTATTCTGTTGAGTCTTAGTTTTCTGGTGCGTCAGCAAGGTGAGCCACATCATTTCTATGATCCACAGTTAATAGGCTTAAGACACAGAGTTAACATAAGCAGTGCATTTAAATTCATAGTCACCACTAGTGATATTATATATGCATCCTCAGTAAACTTTGTAAAAATAAGTTACAAGTGCAAAGGATGACAGAATGCATACTCGTGTTGAGTTGCCAAAATAAAATGGAATTTCACAATTTCTTTTTTATTAAAATTGTCAAAATCTTTTTAAAGAGAAAAGAACTGTGTATGTTAAATGCTTTTATATGCACTATATGTGTATGTCATAGTCATCAGAAACATACAGTTGTTGCAGCATATTTGTCATTTATAGATACATGCCCTGCAGTTTCAGGAAAAAAGGAAAGTCTAAACTCAAATGATTTGATGGTGTGTGGGGTAAAATGGTTGGAACAGCTTATATAAGCACAGAATTTAAAAGTACAGACAAATTAAGAAGCTCCTCTATTTTCAATATAACTACAGTGTCTTTGATATTGAGTAATGATTTATAAAGAACAAAAATCAATAAATATTCCATTCTAAAAAAATTCATTTTAATGAGTGTCTTGGTGAACATAAGCAGCAATTGAAAACAACGCTGACATCCTCTTGTCTTCTTTTAGAGTTGTATATGTAAATTTATGCAGGAGCCTGAAATTTGATTTGTGCTATGCTAGGGATGAGTAAAATTTCAAAACAATAAACGTAGCTTCCGAATAAAGAGTTAGATTTTGAGTAATGAAGGAAGACAATGTTTAGATGTTTGTGCGGAATTGACTTTCTGCAAGTTACATTCCAGGCATGTTTTTAAATCAAAGATCAGACTGCATGCAAACCAATTCACTGTAGAAAAAGTCAGCAAGCAAATACATACTTAAAGCAAACTGTAAGCTGAAGCACAGACACTTTTTCCAAAAGTCCCTAGAGATGCCTGATCATATAAGGATAACAGCTACTTAGTGTAAAAGCAGTAGTAGTAATATTAGTCAGCTCTTTAGTAGGTCCCTGACATTTAAACACAATTTTGTATCACCACCACTTTGGAAATGCTTCAAGGTAAAGGACTTTTTTGCTGCACTTTTATACATTTCCTACCTTGGAACTGAGCATTAAATCCCTTTCGTCGGTGGTTGCTGTCAGATGTAAAATGGAGTCGTAACCAATTCTTACTGCTGATAACAGGAGAAGGTAGATTCATACCAGTCAACCTGGAAAAACAAAAAAGCATCTAATGTAAATGGTTGAAAAATTCATGTATGCAGTACTTAAAAGGGAAAAGAAAAACCCCACACAATAGCCACAACATATTGTACTGTTTAGAATGTATTTAACAACAGTGATTCACTGTCTTCTAGTCTCAATTTATCACTAGTTTAGTAACTATTATCCCAGGAGAAATGTTTTGTTTTCCATTGCAGCTAGCATTTTATGGTCAAAACTTGTATCTCCAAACTATACTTTGGAGAATTAAAGAAGAAAAGCAATCTTGTATGCTTGTGTGTGTGCACGGATGTGTTTGCATGCATGAGTGTGTTACATCATTCAGTAAAAAAATAACCAAATTCCATTATGACAACATTTCATCATCTGACTCCCTGCTGTGTAGGTTAACTCACGGTAAATCACATCTCAGGTGTTATGAAAGATAAATAAGAGTTACAGGCACTAGTCAATGTTAAGCTTGGGTGGTAAATTATTACTACATAACTATCCTACTAGAAATGTGTTCATTAACTCCTATACGTATTTAATAAAAAAAAATGAAGATTAAACACAACCATTTAAAAAAAAGAAAGAGTGCACACAGAGAATTTGTCCAATACAGGTAACAGGCCTTTGGACAACAATGGGTCATACCATAGTCTATCACTGCACCATGTCACTTGTTATTATGAACACGCACAAACAGTTACCCCAGAGTACCTGATAATTTGTGTCTTAGTTTACCAGGTGGCTTTTTTTTGTATGACAATTCTCCAAGTTTTAGATTTAGACATATTTTTTTCATTCTGAATAGCTCTGGAACACTACAAACTACAAGAAATGTAGTTTCTCCCTTTCAAAAATCTTCATTACTTTAAACAAAACCCTAACTGATCAATATCAGAAATTCTCAACCAAAGGGTAATTTGTGTGAGGTTATGTTTGCCAATACAAATGTCGGGCAAAAATGCGGAGGCCTGCATGGATGAAGAAGGAGTTCCTGGACAAACTCAAACACATAAGGAAGCCTACAGAGGGTGGAAGCAAGGACACGCAGACTGGGAGGAATACAGAGAAATTGTCTGAGCAGCCAAGGATCAGGTCAGGAAAGCTAAAGCCCTGACAGAATTATATCTGGCCAGGGACATCAAGGGCAACAACAAAAAGTATGTCAGTGATAAAAGGAAGACTAGGGAAAATGTAGGCCCTCTCTGGAAGGAAACAGGAGACCTGATGACCCAGCATACGGACAAGGCTGAGGTACTCAACAACTCTTTTGCCCCAGTCGGAACAAACAAGTGCTCCAGCCACACTTCCCAAGTCGCAGAAGGGACAGGCAGGGACTAGGAAAAATAAGAACTGCACTGTAGGAGAAGATCAGGTTCAAGATCATCTAAGGAACCTGAAGGTGCACAAGCCCATGGGACCTGATGAGGTTCATCCTCAGGTCCTGAGGGAAATGGTGGATGAAGTTGCTAAGCCAGTCTCCGTCTTATTTGAGAAGTTGTGACAGTCCAGTGAAGACAAAATGGCTTCACTAAGGGAAAATCATGCCTGACATATTTGGTGGCCTTCTACGATGAGGTTACTGCGTTGGTGAACAAGTGAAGAGCAACTGGTGTCATCTACCTGGACTTGTGCAAAGCATGTGACACTGTCCCACACCATATCCTTCTCTCTCAATTGGAGAGACACGGATTTGATGGATGGGCCACTCAGTGGAGAAGGAATTGGCTGGATGGTCGCCCTCAAAGAGTTGTAGTCAGGGGCTTGATGTCCAAGTGGAAACCAGAGACAAGTGGCGTTCCTCAAGGGTCTGTATGGGGACCGGCTCTTTTTAACACCTTTGTCAGTGACATGGACAGTGAAATTGAGTGCACCCTCAGCAAGTTATCCAATGACACCAATCTGTGTGGTGTGGTCAGCATGCTGGAGGGAACGGATGCTACCCAGAGGGACCTGGACAGGCTTGAGAGGTGGGCCCGTGAGAACCTCATGAAGTTCAACAAGACCAAGTGCAAGGTCCTGCTCATGGGTCGGGGCAATCCCAAGCTCAAATAGAGGCTGAGTGGAAAATGGCTTGAAAGCAACTCTGAGGAGAAGGACTTCGGGATGTTGGTTGATGAGAAGCTCAAGATGACCTGGTAGTGTGCATTCACAGCCCAGAAGGCCAACCATATCCTGGGCTACATCAAGCGTGGCCAGCAGGGCAAGGGAGGGGATTCTGCCCCTCTACTCTGCTCTGGTGAGACCCCACCTGGAGTCGTGTGTCCAGCTCTGGAGCACTCAGCACAGGAAAGACATGGAGCTGTTGGAGTGAGTCCAGAGGAGGGCCACAAAAACCGTCAGAGGGCTGGAACACCTCTCCTGTGAGGAAAGGCTGAGAGAGTTGGGGCTGTTCAGCCTGGAGAAGAGAGGGTTTCGGGGAGACCTCATAGCAGCCTTTGAGTACTTGAAGAGGGCCTACAACAAAGCTGGAGAGGGGCTTTTTACAGGGGCTTGTAGTGATAGGTCATGGTATAATGGCTTTAAACTGAAAGAGGGCAGATTTAGATTACATATTAGGAAGAAATTCTTTACTATGAGGGTAGTGAGGCACTGGAACAGGCTGTCCGGAGAAGCTGTGGCTGCCCCCTCCCTGGCAGTGTTCAAGGACCTGTTGGAGCGGGGCCAGAGGAGGGCTGCAAAAATGATCCGAGGGCTGGAACACCTCTCCTGTGAGGAAAGGCTGACGGAATTGAGGCTGTTCAGCCTGGAGAAGAGAAGGCTGTTAATACAAAAGTAGATATTATTATTAGTAGTATTAGATGTTATCACAACTGAAAAAACAAAAGTGAAATAACAT